GGAAAAGAAACTGACATATGATTTATGATTATTGAAGTCAATACTTCTAAAGCAATAAAACTCGAAGCTGAACTCACGGGAATTGCAGAATCCCTGAACTTCTTTGCAGTGAATTCCACATCAGAGCTAACAGTGCCCAAAAGATGATGTGGCACACCTAAATAACATATGTAAACTAATTAAGAAAATCAACGAGTATTTTTCCAAACTCCAAACAAAGATGGTATAAAGGCAATACCTTTTTGGTCATGGAGAGGAACTTTATTGGTGAGGACATCAAGACCTTGATAGACTTGCATGGAATCAGCGTTGATGATTTCAATAGGAAAATGGGCGGCCAAATCAATGGCTAATCGGGATTTTACCGACCCGGTTGGACCCATTACTACTACAACCTTAGATTTATCTCCTTCCTCTCCTCCATTGATTGGGTTTAGGGTTCTAGCAGGCGGCTCATTGCTTTTCTCCATTTATCTCCAAAATCTCTCTCTTTCTATCTCTATGACTGCACATATGCAGTTGCGGAGGTCAGAAAATAAGGTAGCTTTCTGGTGGGCTTGATTTTGGGACACATCCTCAAAAAAAGTTTTGACATTTATAACTAGGAGCCCGTCATACTTGTTGGGTAAAATTAGGGTTCTTCTATGATAATTTTTTTGGGCTTAAATCCCCTATCATACTACAACGTGGCAAAATTCTCAGTGAAATTTTCTTAGTTTTCGAACTTTTATCTTATTTTTCTATTTTATCTTTATATATAATTGACGTGACGTAATAAGGGATTATAATGTATCGAAATAACTACGGACTTGGTTATTCGAATTTAGAATCTCTGGGATAACAACATTCTATTTTCCTAATTTTGCTTTATGAATTTAATATATTTTTATAATATTTATTTGGAATAAAAGATCACTAAAATATAGAGTAAAAATTGTGATCACAGCCGCATCATCTTCATTATCAACCTATACCACAAACAAACATAAAAGAAAAAAGGAAAGAAAACATATCAACATACACAACAACTATTCTACTGTTTGGTGTTCTTGTGCTAAATAAAATAGAAGGAGAAAGATAATCATCGTCTAGAAGATCCGAACATTTGATCCAAAATGATGACCAGAGCCATGGAAAAGTCTGTGCTGACATGACCGGGCGGAACAACAAGATGGAAGACATCGATTCCATAGCCAACTCCTTTAACTACTTCTTTTTTCTTTCCTTTAACTGCTTCTTTTTTCTTTTTCTCCGCTACTAATCTCCTACTCTCGTCATATACGGAGCAAGATCGCTGCGAATATGACCCTTCGACCTCGTAAACCATATTATTATTGTTTCCATTGTTGTTAACGTAGGCCAAGAATTTTTTTATTTAGGATGTTCATCGATTTCCTCGCACAAAGTCTGGGATTCACTGAGGTTTCTCCTTCGTAAATCAGTCAGTTATCTCCTAAACTCATTTTCTGACAAAACAAACGTCGAAACATCATCATGGACATAAAATTGTATGCTTAAAGGACGATGAGTTGAATATAAATTATCCATAGAAAATATTTAAAATATATGATAATTTGATTGAAATATGTAAAGTCAATGTGAGATACGGTGGATGGTGAGGAGAGGGTTGTCGGTGGCATCCATGAGAAGGATCTCACCCTTGTGGTCGTCCATGTAATTATCAACCCTGAACACCAAATTACCCTTATTATCAAACACCGTGTGTTGCGTGTTATGAGTACTATAAAATTCTACGCAAATAATGTGCAAGTATACACAATCGCTAAAGCAATAAAGTGATGAGTGAGTATCGTTTTTACAGGGATTGGAAGGATCTTGAGTAAAGTTTATGCACTACTCTAAAGTAATTAAGTATAACTAATGATATTCACAAATGATTATGCCGAGGCAAATGAAATGTGTATGAGTAACAAAAGAAAATGTCATGGCAAAGATAGCAAATAAATGAAATAACTTGATAATCCTCACACAGAAAACTACTTCGGGAATGAGTGATAGGGAATGATTTAAGATTGCTAAAACTTATCTCTTTAGCAGATTTAATCTATCTAATTCACTTGCTCGACGGAGTTTGCTGAAAGTGCTTCCGCTATCTCTAGTCAAAGGAACCTAATAGAATAGAATGCCACGATATCTCTCTTCTTAGTCTCAGCTGTGGCAGCCTACACTATTGATAAAAACTACCCCACTTAGTCGTTGAAATCCTATCTTAGTCTCTCTCAAGCACTAAGGGATTAGGATTTAGTATTACTAGGTCGGTTCAAAGCTTAAGAAAATACTATAGCCCATTGCTTATTTGGATCTCACTTGTGTTTCTCTCGAATACTACAAGTATTTTTAGCTAAGTTTCTCTCGAACACCTAGCCTTCATCTAAGAAATGGACACTCTCATGCCTCCTACAAGCTTAGATGATGAAACATTCATAAGCAAAGCAAGCAAATATAAAAGATAAATATTAATCTACCATTAAAATAAAGTTAAACATCCATAAAACAACTCCACCAAATAAGGTTAGTTCATGGTGGGGCTCGAATATTCCATGAAATAAAACATGAAAATCATTCATGCCAAACAACCCAAATAAAATAAATAAAAGAAAACAGCAAAGGGATGGAGGAAACAACCTTCAACGCATGCTATCAGAGCTCCCTAATGAAGGAACACCAAGAAAAATTAAGGAAGAAAAACGATGAAGAATATGATAATTTTCTGGGTTGGTAACCTCTTTTTCTTCCACCCACTCTCTCTCTTGTGAGGTGTAATATATAATAAAAATATCTAGGGGTAATGATGAGGTTGTTGCGCTCAAAATGTCCATCATACCCCCCAGCAGGCGGTTACAAACAGCATACACGTGATTTGACAGTTGTCCTTTTATGAAAATATCTTTTTGTCATTTTCTATGCCAGAAATGCCAAGGCATTTAAATATGCTTCAACAATGTGTGATGTCACGGCATTCCTTCCCAGCTCGCCCTTTTTGCTTGTTATTTCCTACACATCACTAAAAACCATACCTTCCTCCTCATATAGCACCTTAATAAAATAAAATAACACAACTACCAAAAATGCAATTATATGCAGCTACATACATATAAAATGACCTATATGTACCCTTAAACAAACAATAACTTTAGTGAAAAATACCTTAAAAGTAGTCTTTTTACAGAGTTATCACACCCCCAAACTTAATCTATTGCTTGTCCTCAAGCAATGGATAACAATTAACACAATCAAAATGTCATGGCAATTTTCATCAATAGGACAACAAAACAAAAATTGAATTTCAACCCTCAGAAAAATTGGCTTCAACATGCTAGACATATCAAGAATTCAAGTACTCTTCCCTAGGTCAAGATTCTTTATGGTGTTATGTGTGTGTGTGATTGTATATAATCTATACTTAACGAATTTAGGCAATTTCTAATTGAGTTCCCTAATTTCGTCATATTCATCCTCCAAAACACCCTTCATCCTAAAAAGAACTAATATTAAAATTAAAAATAAAGAAATAAAATAAAGAAAAATAAATAAATAACACTCATGATAAAACAAAACTTCTAAAACATAAATTAAAGAGGGTTGAAGGGATGCAAACTCCAAAACATAATGAATTGTTATAGCATTTTTGTTGTGTTTGATTGGAGAACCAGTATATACCAAAATGCTCCACACATATAACAGCGACACCTTCAGTGTAAGCCGATAGAACCCAATTTATAGGACCATTGCAGTAGTCCTCTCTCCTCTTGAGTGTTCTCTACATAAAGCTAACTGGTAGTGGAATATGATCTCTTTTCAGTCCCCGTTACCATGGCATATTTTAATTGCTTGGGCAACAATGTCTTTGAAGAAGGTCATCCCAATGATAGTAGCGAATATCCTGCATTAACATGTTCTTGCCTTGGCTATTCAAGTACGGAAGCAAAACACCACTAACGAGAAAATTGACAATGTCAGCATATCACGACAATGCCGTGGCAAATAATAATTTCTCATCAAGGAATTTTTTTCTTAATCTCCATTTTATTCCTTAGTTCTTTCACAATTTCTAGCCTAGAAAAATGGGCAGCTACTTAGAGCCCGTTTGGATCAAGAAATTTAACATTCCCAGCAGGCATGTTTGTTTCCTGATGAAAGATACCCATGTTTGGTTGGGGTATGATTCCCAAGTGAGGTTAATGCTATAATACCAACAGTAAATTTTGGTGTTTTATTCTTGGGAATGTTATTCCCACATGTGTCTTAGGTTTTATTTTATTCTCGTGCTAAGGGCTAAAATACCTCTCTTTTCCAGCTTGCCTCTGCGTGATATCTTCTTCTCCCCTTGCTGCGAAAAATTCATCGTTTCCCAGTGAGATTCCTGGTAAGATTTCTTCTCCACTCCCTTTCTTCTCCCCGCTAGCATATGTTTCTCGGTCCGAGTCGCTTAAATTTGCAAAGTCTTGCTAAACTTTTAATTTCAATGGATGAAACTCTGGGCTAAATTCCTACCAGGAACAGTGGTTCGATTATACCTGAACTGACATTTTCAATTTTAATAATGTGATTGTTTCTTTATGCTTCCTCTTTTAAGTTTTGGTTGTTGTATTGTATTGTTTGGCTGCTTCAATGGTTCTACTAATTGCTTCTTAACCTTGATTATTCCAAAAATATTATGATTTTAGTCCTCTACTCTCCTTGTGAACGTTTCAGATTCCCTTCAGATTATGATTCCAAAAATATTATGATTCCAAAAACCTTGTCTGCTGCAACCTCCCTCAACCCTTCAGATTCCCTCAACTTCCCCGGCGATGAACCAGCAGAATCCTCTGATGTAGAACTTAAAGCCTGATCAATGCCCTGACCTTCCAAACCTCCCTTCATTTTGCTTCATTTTACTCTTATCTATTCTTCTTTTATCCTCTGATTGTGTGTATATTGTGTGCTTTTAAATAATCTTTTAATTTGATTGTCATTCTAGGTCAATGACAGCTGACATGTGGATAAAAGAATATAATGAAGAAGCAAAAATTGATGATGATATTAATGGCATGATATCTGAGAGGATTTCCTTACCTGCATCTGGACTAGAAACTCAGCGTCACTCATCGGCTATTAGAAGGAAGATTATGATTTTAGGGACTAGACTTGATGGATTGCAGTCCATTATGTACCTACTGGGAAGCCCTTGTAAGTTATCTTAATTGTGGAGAAAATAGGAGTGAATTGATACTGTGTTTAGTAATTTTGATCATGTCTGCTGGGATTTTCATAAGATATGTCGAATTGGAATATGTTGTAATATGAGGAATAAACTGTCCTTTTGCCAATACTTCATATTTTGGTTACAGAACAGAGAAGGAGATGAACTGTCACAAGGATATGGTTGCAAATTTGTTATCAAAAGCAAATCAGATGGCTTCTGTATTCAATATGTCGAATTTTGCAAACCAAGATAGCTTGTTAAGGCCTGAAACAAAGGTTGATGCCATGAGTAGGACTGTTGGGTTGGATAACTCTGGTCTTGTTGGTCTTCAACGACAAATCATGAAAGGCAAGTTATTTTAGTTTCAAATGGCATCCCTGTTGAATTGTATAATTGCCTTAGTTTCCTCAACTGATGAACGTGTCTTTTTCAAGCAGAGCAAGATAAGGGTCTTGAGAAGTTGGAGGAGACAATATTAAGTACAAAGCATATTGCATTGGCGGTCAATGAAGAACTTGATCTGCATGCCAGACTTATTGTATGTTGCTCTTTATTCTTTTTTTTTTTTTTTGCTTCTAATTTCTTTAAAGGAAATGCTTGGTGAAGATTGATTCACAGTCAGTAAACTTTATGTTGTGCTCCCTCTCAATGCTGGATGACCTAGATGAACATGTTGATGTTACCGATTCTCACCTACGGGTAAAAGACTTGTTATTAATTAACATTTTAAATGCATAGCACAATATTATCCTTTTGCTTTTGAAAGGTATGACACCGAATGACTGCTATTTAATATATTTATCCAGCTCCTACTAGAAATAGGCATTCCTATAAATGACTTTAAGCCTCATAATATGTCATGTTGTGGGAAATCTTTGGTGATGAATCTTGTTAGGGAGGAAGGATATAATTCATGGCCATTCAATTTGTGTTTAGAGTAGACAAAAAGATCTCAAGTAAACTAAGAATTATTTGACTTTTAGTTATTTAAATTATATTGTCATAGTGGATTCTAAGGATTTTGTTTTCTTTGCTAACAGAGAGCGCAGAAAAACCTAGCAATTTGAACAAGCGAACCAAATGTGGTTGTTCCTGTACGTGCATGCTATTAGCCGTTATCGGAATCGTGATTTTGGTTGTCGCAATATACCTTCTGATAAAATATTTGTAATTACCAACAATTGCAAACACAATAATTTGCCATTGTTGTGTGTGGGTGTCATGAGTGGAGTTGGTTTTCAGTTCTTACCTCCATGTTGGAAACTTATTATTTGCCTTTGTGCGCTCCCTTTTCCTTGTATGTTCTCAAAACTATGTAAATTACAAGTAATTTAAGTCTTGTAGACAAATTTTAACTATTTATCATATATTATTTCTTTTGTTGACGAATCTAAAGCATTGTAGCCAGCATCAATTAGAGGTTATCGGGGATTAAATTTTAACTATTTATCATATTTTTACATAAGTTATATAAAATTTAATAATACATGATATATTTAAATACTCAAGTAATATATTATCAACAGATATAATTTTTATTTAAATAATTTTTATTTAAATATTTAGAATTTCACTTCTTAAAAAATATTGAACAAGGACAATTTGGTAAAATATGCATTCCAGTATTCTTTTATTCCTTCAACCAAACATTGTAATCTTACATTCCTGTCAAACCAACCAAACACGATAATGTAACATTTCCAGTAATCCTATTCCCTGGTAATATTTTATTCCTACTAGTAATCTTATATTTCGTGAACCAAACGCACCCTTAGGGTTTAGGATGAGTAAATTCAATGAAATCCAAAGGTTCAATTTTCGTAATTGGTCTAGCTATGAGTAAGCTAGACTAACTCATATAATTTGGAATATCCTTAAGCTCATCTTTTTATTCTTCATCGAGCTTCAAGTAATCGTCAGTGCCTGAAAAATTATCGTGGCAGAATTCTGCAACTTCCCTTTGGTCATCAACTCCTGCTAGTGGGGGTTTTTCTTTTGTCGTGGCATTATTTTGCATGCCATCATTGGGTTTACTCTTTGAACCTTCAACTTTGTTCTCCAGCAAATATGAGTCCTCTTGCAATTGAGATTCTTCATGCACAATCTCATAGCTAGGTTCTTTGAGTGTTTTCCCCCAAACTTAGCATCTTTGTAGGTATTGGTGTCACTCTTTAAGGTGAATATACTAAATTGCTCACTGCCTTTAGCCTTATTGACTTCACTATCACTAGGCAATCTGTCTGGTTGGTATTCTTTTAATGCCGTTGCAATGTGACCCACTTGCATTTCCAAAGCTCTCAAAGACAAATTATGACTTTGCAACCATGCGCCTTGACTTTGTAATAATTATTCTTGACTCTTAATAGATGTGGCGTGATCTTGTAATAGAGCCTTTGTAGTTATCATAGTCTTCCATAGTGGCCTCTAAAGAACTTGTATTAAGTGAAGATGTTATCCCCTTATTAAAAGTGTGTCATGGCATATTCGTTTGTAAGGTTGGGGGTTCATCCATATACTATTACTGAGTAAGATGACAAACATTATGAGCTCCTTGATTTTCCCCTGAGAAATTGGGATGTTGACTCCATCGTTGGTTGTAGGTGTTGGAATAAGGGTTGTTATTACCTCCATTGAAGCTTCTCACATAGTTGATAGACTCATGGCTGGTCGGGCATACACTCTCGTGATGATTACCTTGGCATAACAAACATGCCAAGCTAGCAACCTTTACTTCTTTCACCTCATTAGAATGTTACAAATTCTTCAACATATTGGTGATGGTAGAGAGTTGGGCCAACACTGAATCTTCAGCTTCTAATTTGAAAGTCCCATATGCATTCTTTCTATTTTCAAACCTTGAAGAGAGAAATTGGTTATCATGGTTAGCAATTCGATTAAGAATTTCAAAAGCCTCTTCGCGTGATTTATCAAGCAAAGTGCCATTTGTCGAGGCATCTAGCATCATCCTCGTGGGTTCATTGGTTCCATTGTAGAACATCACGACTTGAGTCCAGTCGTGGAATCCATGGTTGGTACATTTGTGAAGCAATTCTTTATAGCGGTCCCAACACTCATACATTGACTAGTCATCAGCTTGATGAAAAAATGTTATGGCATTCCTAAGATAGTTGTTCATATTGGGTGGATTATGCCGTAGTAATTTTTTTTTGCACAAGTCAGACCAAGACCGTATCGAGCCAGAAGGTAATCCATTGAGCCATGCCCTATCATGCTCTTTCAAAGAATATGGAAATAACTTCAATTTTAGCACATCTTCATGCACACATTGTTATCAAAAAGAGTCACAGACCTCCTAAAATTCTCGAACATGTTGCATTGCATCCTCATGAGGAGCACCACCAAACTGTCCAATCAAGTCCAATATATCGAACATAACTGGTTTGACCTTGAAGTGGGTTGCCTGGATCTTGGGAGCTATAATAGCAAGTTTTAGGTCATCCAATGTGGGAGCTAAGTGATCTCTAATAGTTTTTGGTCGAGCAGTATTCCCAGCATTTGGAATTGTCGTGGCTTTTAGAACTGTAGGATCCTTCACCTGATTTTGAACAACATAAGCCTCAGGTTCAATATGAAATAATGATTCTTTGGGTCTTTTATGTGTCATGCAACAACGTAACACCTGAAAAAAGTAAACACAAAAACAAGTAACTATGTACAAAGAGAAGAAATAAAATGATGCAATAACTAAACTCAACATCATCAATTGCCAATCCCCAGCAACGATGCCAAAAACTTGTTGTATGTTTTGAGTACTATAAAATTATACGCAAATAATGTGCAAGTATACACAATCGAAGTGATGAGTGAGTATCATCTCCGCAGGGATTAGAAGGATCTTGAGTAAAGTTTATACACTACTCTAAAGTAATTAAGTATAGCTAATGGTATTCACAAATGATTATGCCAAGGAAAATGAAATGTGTATGAGTAACAAAAGAAAATGTCATGGCAAAGGAAAATGGTAAAGATAGCAAATAAATGAAATAACTTGATAATCCTCACATATGAAACTACTTCGGGAATGAGTGATAGAGAATGATTTAAGATTGCTAAAACTTATCTCTCTAGCAGATTTAATCTATCTAATTCACTTGCTCGACGGAGTTTGCTGAAAGTGCTATCGCTATCTCTAGTCAAAGGAACCTAATAGAATAGAATGCCACGATATCTTTTCTCAGTCTCAGTTGTGGCAGCCTACACTATTGATAAAAACTACCCCACTTAGTCGTTGAAATCCTATCTTAGTCTCTCTCAAGCACTAAGGGATTAGGATTTAGTATTACTAGGCCGGTTCAAAGCTTAAGAAAATACTATACCCCATTGCTTATTTGGATCTCACTTGTGTTTCTCTCGAATACTACAAGTATTTTTAGCTAAGTTTCTCTCGAACACCTAGCCTTCATCTAAGAAATGGACACTCTCATGCCTCCTACATTCTTAGATGATGAAACATTCATAAGCAAAGCAAGCAAATATAAAAGATAAATATTAATCTACCATTAAAATAAAGTTAAACATCCATAAAACAACCCCACCAAATAAGGTTAGTTCATGGTGGGGCCCGAATATTCCATGAAATAAAACATGAAAATCATTCATGCCAAACAACCCAAATAAAATAAATAAAAGAAAACAGTAAAGGGATGGAGGAAACAACCTTCAACGCGCGCTATCGGAGCTCTCCTCGGCCACCACGAACCGCCTTAGGTCGCTAGCTCCTCTTGGATGCCTAGCTCGCCACTCCCTCGAGCTTTACCAATTGAGGAACACTAAGAAAAATGAAGGAAAAAATGGTGGAGAATATGATAATTTTCTGGGTTGGTAACCTCTTTTTTTTCCACCCACTCTCTCTCTTGTGAGGTGTAATATATAATAAAAATATCTATGGGTAATGATGAGTTTGTTGCGCTCAAAATGTCCATCATACCCCTAGGGTCACACCTTGTGCGTGAACCTTATTATCCAGGTGGTAGTGGTCCCCCAGCAGGCGGTTACAAGCAGCAAACTCGTGATTTGGCAGCTGTCCTTTTATGAAAATATCTTTTTTCCCTTTTTTGTGTCAAAAATGCCAAGGCATTTCAATCTGCTTCAGCAATGTGTGATGTCACGGTATTCCTTCCCAGCTTGCCCTTTTTGCTTGTTATTTCCTGCACATCACTAAAAGATATACCTTTCTCCTCATATAGCACCTTAATAAAATAAAATAACACAATCACCAAAAATGCAACTACATACATATAAAATGACCTATATGTACCCTTAAACAAATAATAACTTTAGTGAAAAATACCTTAAAAGTAGTCTTTTTACGGAGTTATCACCATAAAGCCACTGCAATGATTTTTCCCAAACGGTTAGAATCGTCTCCTCCGTCGTATTGGACTCAGGTATCGGTAACAACTTCGGCAGCCTCTCGGAGACACGGTAAAACTAGCATTGGGGTAAACACTTATCATTCTCGTAGAAGTTTCCAGCCTTTTAACACTAATTCGAAAACAAAGACGCAAGAAATTCCTGAAGCATAGCGAGTACAGTGTTGTGGAACAATTACACAATTTGACAGCATGCATTTTGATGCTGGCACTACTACTGAATTCAGAGGCACATGAAGATGCACTCCTGAAAGTCCTGAATCAGACCTACATACCACACAACATACTAGTCAACAAGTTGGACAGACTGGTCAACAACATTCAGGCAGACAATCTTATCTCATTTTCTAATAATGAGATCCCATCCGGAGGAAGAGGCTGGGCTAAAGCATTGCACATTACAACACATTGCAAGGGACATGCCTTGCCAAGTGTGTTAATCGACAACGGGTTTGCTCTGAATGTGATGACTCTAGTCACTTTAAAAAGACTACCAATTGATACCTCCTACATGCGAACATGCCGGAGTGTGGTCCGAGCATTTGACGGGACCACGAAGGAGGCAATCGGCAAGATTGAGGTACCCCTAACCATTGGACCCACCACTTATAACATAGAGTTCATGGTGATGGGCATTATACCTTCGTATAACTACCTTTTGGGAAGGTATTGGATCCATCAAGCTGGAGGAGTATAATCAACACTACACCAGAAATTCAAGTTTGTCATCAACGGGGCCCTTGTAATCATTAATGGGGATGAATATATAGTGGAAAGTGTGA